AGTTTAATACCCAGAGCCACTTGGTAGAGGGCGAGAACCGACTCCTGCAAGGTGTACCTCTGGCCATCCCACCGGCACACCTGTGCCAGCCCCTGCCTAAATGACACACACTAAACAAATAGGGTTAGGTTTTGTTGCTGTTGTTTGGGGTTCTTTTTGGTTTTTCGAGTTAGGGTCTCTCGGTGTAGCCCTGTCTCTCCTGGAACTTGCTCTGCAGACCAGGCTGGCATCAAACTCAGACTGGATCCACCTGCCTCTACCTCCCAAGATCTGGGATCAAAAGCGTGCACCACCACCAACAGGCACAAATAGAACTTTTAAAAAATTAAATACATGTAGGGCAAAGGGTGAGCTTTGGGCTGAGTTCAGTGGACAGAGCAGGAACGGGTTGTCCAAGGGACCTCTGCTGTTCGGCACACACAGCAATCTCAGATTCCCGTGGCTGACCATTCTTCCTGTGGGGTCCACTCAAGTCCAACATAATGCAAAAACAAAACAAATCATACCACAAGGCTTCAGGGGAAGTTGGGCCATTCTCCTTACTGGGCAGGTTGTGATATCCATAGCCAAAGCAAGAGAGGGGCTGGCAGCTGTTCAGAAACCAAAATGGACAGCTATGACTCAAGACCAGGCCTCTGCAAGTGCAACCACCACTCAGTCTCCTATAGGAACATGGACACCCCTTACTCAGAATCTAGTGCCCACCCTCTGGAGAAGGTAACAAACAGTGAAACATAACATAGCCATGAAAAAGGCCAGGGATCTAATGAAGCAGGGAGACCCAAAAGGACACTGTGCTCAGTGAGAGGGCCAGACACAGTGTCACACCCACCTTGTGGACTCTGACAGGAAATGTCAGAGATGGGAAGGAGATTCATGGTGCCAGAGGCTGGAGGAGGTTCAGGTGAGAAGTTAGGGCGTTCAGGGAGACCCTGGCTCAAAACAAATAATGAAGGAGCTGGTAACGGTGCTTTCTGCCAAGCCTGAAATGTTGAGTGTTGTTCCCAGGGCATGCAGAGGAAGGAGAGAATGGACTCCTTTTCAGTTGGTCTCCACAGGAACATTGTACATTTAAAGATTTCAAGTAATATAACTGGGAATACTGGAGTAAATAATAAATACAACTGGAACTGTATCTCTCTCTCTCTCTCTCTCTCTCTCTTTTTTTTTTTTTTTTTGGTTTTTCGAGACAGGGTTCCTCTGTGTAGCCCTGGCTGTCCTGGAACTCACTCTGTAGACCAGGCTGGCCTCAAACCCAGAAATCCGCCAGCCTCTGCCTCCCAAGTGCTGGGATTAAAGGCGTGCGCCACCACCGCCCGGCCTGGAACTGAATCTCAATAGGAGTGTTTGCCTAACATGAATGAGGTCCTATGCTTAGCACCCACCAAAAAATAAATTAAAATGCACTTATAGGCCAGGTCTGGGCCCTTACCTGGACGTACTATCCCTACACCATTAGCTCGGCACAGATCAGGCCGGGTGGAACTCGCCTATCACCCCAGCACTGGGGCGTGGAGTCAGGAGGATCGGGAGCCCCACTTGGGCTGGATTAATGGCTCTGAGATTATAGCACCGGCTCCTGCAGAGGACCTAGGTTCAGCTCGCAGCAGCCATGTGGTGACTCACAGCCATCCATGACTCCAGGGGAATGTGATGCCATTTCTGGCCTCTGATGCTACTGCACAAATGTGTTCCACATAAACTCATGAAGATACACACATACCAGCCCTTTAAAAGAGAACAAAGACTGAAAAGTTATTTTGATGATATAGCAAAGTTTATTAATCTATTCCTTTGCTAAATTTTATTGTTTGATTACCTTGGCATAACTGATGGGAGACAGGGCAGAAAAGTCTGGTCCCTGGATCTGGAGAAGACAGAACTGGATGTGGTAGTGGAGAAGCCTGCACCAGCCTGCCAGGGTGCACAGAATATACCCCCATGTAGTGGCTTGCAGAGCACCTGCAGGCCCCTGCTTCGGTCCTGGGCTGCCTGGAACCTGAGCTGACAGACCTCAGCAAATGCATAGCTACAGGCTGGCCTGTCCGGGCTGCAGTGGCACACAGCCCTACTCTACCTGGCTCTGTTGTCAAAGCATAAATAGATGAAAGAATTTATAAAAATTAGAGGCATGGCCTATGGTACAGTGGGTATCATACCTGCCCTGCAGACAGGAGATAGGAGCTCAGATCTCAAGTCATGGGGCCGGCAAGATGACTGAGCAAGCAAAGGCTTGCCACCAAGCTAAGGGACCTGAGTTTGCTTCTCAGAACACATATGGTGGAAGGAGGGGCTGACTTCCTCACATGGCCTCTTGGCATATGTGATCCACCCATAAATGTAACAAAATGACAACAGAGCCAATCTCAATGACTTGTGATCCCACAGCCAGGCCCCTGAGGCAGGAGAGACATAGCGTTCATTTCAACAACAAAAACCCCACTCTTGTCTGCTTTGTTTTCAAGACAGGGTTTACTGTTTTTAAGCCTGGCTGTTCTGGATTCACTCTGTAGACCAGGCTGTCCTCAAATTAGAGTTCCACCTGCTTCTGCCTCCAGAGTGCTGGGATTAAAGGCATGCGCCACCACTGCTCAGCTAACAGAAGCCAGTCGTGTACTTTCAAAGATAGGAGTGGTGTGGCTGCACACTAATCACTGCTAGCTAACCAACCTTAGCTGCTGAAGGGAAGTCATGGCTGCTGGGCAGTGTTCTCTGCTCTCAGTCCCTCCCAGGGCAGCATGCCAAGCTCTGAATTCATATCTGCTTCCTGCACCCCAGGGTCCAGCCCTTTCCATTGGCTGGTATGTGGGCTGGGTCACACTGATATCACTCGATCCTACCATCTACTACTGCACCCACAGCCTTTCCTGAAACTTCATGTAAACATGCATCTGTGCCCCATGGCAAGCTTTCAGTCCGTTATCTGCAGCCATGCATGCGTGTGTGTGTGTGTGTGTGTGTGTGTGTGTGTGTGTTCCTGTGCATCTTCCTCAATTGCTTTCCATCTTATGTTTTGAAACCTGGTCTTTCACTCAACCTGGGGCTCACCCATTGGAGCAGGCTGGTGGGCCAGTGTGTTCCTGGCATCCTCCTGCCTCCACACACACCACCTCACCTGGGGAAGCCAACTTGTAGAGCCCACAGGATGTTTGTGGATGGTTGTGGTCTGTGCTCCCAGAACTTAGGGGGCAGTGTCCCATGTTGGAGCCCAGCCCTGGGCTGCAGAGCAAGATGCTGGTCTCAAAAACAAACATCCAGGGCTGGAGAGATGGCTCAGCGGTTAAGAGCACTGACTGCTCTTCCTGAGGGCCTTAGTTCAATTCCCAGCAACCACATGGTGGCTCACAACCATCTGTAATGGGATCTGATGCCCTCTTATGGTGTGTCCAAAACAGCTACAGTATACTCAAATATATGAAATAAATAAAATATTTTAAAAACTCAACAAAACAACAACAACAACAGAAACCCCAAACATCCAGAGAAGAAATCCAACCAAGAAATCAAAAGGTGCACCTGGGCCCAGCAGTGTCTGCTCCATTGTCCCCATCCACACTGTTGGGCCGTGGAGGACCTAGCACAGATCGGACGTGATTGTCACTTATATTTAAGGTATGTTTTCACTGTGAACTCCTGGCTGGAACTTGCTGTGTAGACCTGGCCTCGCTCTCTCAGAGTTCCTCCTGCCTCTGCCTCCTGAGTGCTGGGATTTAAAGATGTGATGCAGTGTGCCCAGTAAGAAAATGCTTTAAAAATTCATTCCGAGTCTAATGTTCATTTTACTTTGAGTTTTTTAGCTTATACATTGTGTATTTTTATTGTATGCACTCATGTCTGCATTTTACACACACACACACATATATACACACACATATGTACATATACATATATACATTATATATATATATATATATATATATATATATATATATAACAGGCTTCCCGTTAGCATTCTGATATATAGTGTATATATATTGTCTTTATTTCATTTTTATTTTTAAAACATTGTTATTACCATAAATTAAATTTACATAAGTATAGCCGGGCAGTGGTGGCGCACGCCTTTAATCCCAGCACGTGGGAGGCAGAGGCAGGTGGATTTCTGAGTTCGAGGCCAGCCTGGTCTACAGAGTGAGTTCCAGGACAGCCAGAGCTACACAGAGAAACCCTGCCTCGAAAAAATAAAAAAATTACATAATTATGTAATAATGGACTTCACGGGCTGGAGACATGCTCAGTGGTTGATTGTACTCTTCCAGAGGACCCAGGTTCAGTTCCCAGCACCCACATGGTGACTCACGACTCTCTGTGACTCCAGTTCCAGGAGAGCTGACGCCGTCACACAGACACACATCCAGGCAAAACACCAATGCACATAAAACAATCATTATAAAAGTAAGGAACTTCATGACATTTCCACACACATATATTTAAGATTCTAAACTTTGATTTTATGGTCATGTCACTGCCATATACCCTGTCGATCCCCGGGATCGAACTCATGTCCTCGAATTGACGGCAAGTGCCCTCACTGCTGAGGCTGCTCGGAACCCCTGTTTGTTTTGTTTTGTTTTTTGGTTTTTCGAGACAGGGTTTCTCTGTGTAGCCCTGGCTGTCCTGGAATTCGCTCTGTAGATCAGGCTGGCCTCTGTAGACTACAGATCCACCTGCCTCTGCCTCCCAAGTGCTGGGATTCAAGGCGTGCGCCGCCACCGCCCGGCTTCGGAGCCCCTGTTTATCTCCCATTTCTTTTTCTCCGTTTGTTTTGGTCCCGGAGACCATTGGCCGCGCCCCCTAGAACATACCCACGCCCACTAGGTCCTGCGCATGCTCTATCCAGATAGTGCCCTTTGAATAGGATGAAACCATTTTCTCTATGGGGGGCAGTCGGAAGGACTCCTTCCGGAGGAAGACCGGAAGTCACTTCTCCGGCTCTTAGGCCAGACCTGGGGCGTCGCCGCCATACCGTTCCGTGTGTGGACACCCGTAGTTGCGGCGATGGTTCCGCCCGACCTGGTCACGTGGCCATCAAGATGGCGGCATCCAGCGGACGACGCGCGAGGCGCGTCAGCTGACTTGCTCTCGACGCCGTGGCTGCGACCCACTTTGACCTGTCCGGAGTGTGCGGAGCTCATAGACGAGTCTCGGTAGCCGAAAGCACGGTAAGCAGAGTCGGAGGCGCCCCGCTGCGGGGGACTTCCGCCTTGAGGTACTCGCTGCCCGGGGATTGCCCTTGAGGGACCCCGAGGCGCCGCCAGGCTTCCCGTGGGGAATTGGACGACTTTGCCCCCTTTTACTCGGGTATTTGATTTGACACAGGGTATCTTGTAGCCCAGGCTAGCCTTCAACACACTGTGTGGCTACGAATGGCCCCTCTAGCCTCCTCCGACCTGGTGTTGTACTGACAGGTTTGCCGCCGGGCCGGGGCTCGCCGGTGCTGGGGTGAGCTGCGGCTTCGTGCAGGCCGGGCCCGCGTTTGACCACTCAGCTCTAGTATTTAGAGACAGGATCTCCTGGGACCGGTAATCCTACTGCCTCAGCATCTTCTTCCCGGGCCTGCCCAGCCTGGAGCCTTTTGAATTAGCGGGAGGCCGCATCCCTAGAGCAGCACTCTTGGACCCACGAAGTCCTTGGTCTCCTTTCTTGTTGCTCTGGGTAAGTCGGGAGGTGAGTCTTACTGCCACGCAGTGGCTGCCAGCTCCCGTGGACCTGCTTATGTGTGCTGGTTAAGTCCATTTCCAAGATGTGACTGTCTTACGATGGACATCAGTGGTGAGGCAGCCACACCTGCCTCTTTAAACCCAGGGACCTCTGGATGGGCTCAGAGCCCAGAATGCCTTCAGCCTGCCACAGCCTGTTAGTCCAGTTTGTTCTGTATGCATCTGCCGCAGTCTTTGCTGGTGTCTACATGGCTGACAGGGGCCGCCCCTCTTCTATCCGACGACATCTGGTTCCATGTTAATTCATCCGTGAAGGAAAACACCTGTGTGGGTGTGTTGTCCTGCATCTATGAGTTCTATGCAGAGGGTAAACGCTCTGCAAAGGCAGGAGGAGGGGGGATGAAGTGTATCCCACAGGGGAGCCTCCAGAAATACGGTGTCGTGGGAGATTACTCTAGGCAGGGATGAGATCCATTTTGCAACTGACAAGAGTTTCTAGATCTGTCATCTAAGCTGTCCTGAAGGTGCCTGTTCTCAGTTCCAGGGTTGAGTCCCAGGACGTGAGGTCACTGGGACTGGGGAGATCCTCCAGGACCAGCCTCCCAACTGGGAGCATGATTCAAGGCTAGCTCTGCATGCCCGGGGCCTGGCTTCTGTTCGTGCCTCTCTGGACATTGTGTGGAGCTCGTGACAGATACACAGGGGAGAAGCCCAGAGTCAGAAAGTAACTTACTTGAACTGCATAGCAGAAACCATGGGCTGCACTGGACTGTGAAGCCGTTGCCAATGACCAAGATGGCCAGGAAGAGTGCTCTGGCTCCCCCCACCCCTCAACCCCGCTTGGTGGAGGGTGCTGGATGTGGAGAAAGTTCTGTGGCCTGAAACTCCGGGATCCTTCTGCCTCAGCATCCCAGGGCTTGAATGGCAGGTGTGCAGGTGTGTGCCATAGCATGGGGCTTCTCCTTTTTCTACAGCAGGTTTCTGCTGCCACGAACCCGGCCCTGCAGATCGCGTGCTGGGGAGGCTGCTGCCATGGTCACGGAGCAGGAGGTAGCCGCCATTGGCAAGACCTTAGTGGACCCCAAGCAGCCCCTGCAGGTCCGCTTCCGTGCCCTGTTTACACTGCGGGGACTTGGTGGTCCTGATGCTATCGCCTGGATCAGCCGGGGCTTTGAGGACAGCTCTGCCCTTCTGAAGCATGAGCTAGCCTACTGCCTGGGCCAGATGAGGGACCCACGGGCCGTCCCTGTGCTGGTGGCTGTGCTGCAGGACAGGAACCAGGAGCCCATGGTCCGTCACGAGGCAGGTGCGTATGGGCCGCTCGATGGTGTGTTCAGCTCTGGCTCTGGGACACAGGTAGGGGCAGCTGCAGGGAGGGCCTGAAGAAGATGGGAGCACACAGCCCTGTGGACAGCAAACGGGTGGGGGCGGGGGCACTCATGTCCCAGCAGCAGAGCTGGATCCCATGCCAGCCTGTTCGTGGCTTCAGGGCCTTGGCACATGCTGTCCCTTTTGGCCCAAAGTCTGTTTGGTTTGCCAGTCCGGTCTAGAGATGATTTCTCAGTCTGCCCAGGGGCACTGGCTGGGGTGGGTGGCTTTACACCCAGTAGGCCAACTCCATAAGGCTTCTGATTGAGCAGCGCAGAGGCTGTAGGCCAGCTGTGGCCTGGGAGAGCAGTCAGGTGTTGGGCATCAAGCAGCCCCTTTCTGCTGATTTGTCTCCACAGGGGAGGCCCTGGGGGCAATCGGTAACCCGGAAGTTCTAGGCCTCCTGAAGCAGTATTCCACCGACCCAGTAGTTGAGGTGAGGAAACTTGCCAGGGCAACCTCCTGGAAAAGGATCCTCTCGAGATGGACCGGGTGAAGGCAGGGCAGGTGGGCAGGGTCTCCCCACAGCTCTGGGTCCCCAGCCCTGGGAATTTGACTTCTCCCCTTGTGCGGTGACTGCCGACGCCTGTGACCTGTCTGGCTCTTCCCCTTGCTCACACTGCACCCACAAAGCTCCTTTCTCCCCTTGATCCCTCTGTCCTCACACTGCTGTTATGGAGTCTGTCTCACTGAACTTGTTCTGAAGGTCTGTCCATGCTGCGCCATGGGAGTGGAAGTGCAGTGTGTGAGGGTGTGCCGTGCAGGTACTGCACCCGAGGCTGCCGGCTCGCCTCTCATCTCCACCTTTGTTCTAGTGAATGGGCTCCAGGCGTGAGGCTGTCCCTTGCCTTCCCTCCTGCTTCTCACACCCCTTGCTTTTTCTTCGATGTCCAGTCCCAGGGCCTTTGCACAGATTGCTGTGTTCCCCCAGGTCTCCCCCCATCCCCGGTGCCTGCTCATGTCGCTCTGGTGTATGTCCACCCTGAAGCCACTATGCCTGGCTCGGCCATAAGTCTAGGAGAATGGGGGAGACAAGTACCCCATGTCCCCAGCATCAGGGACCCAGAGCTGCCTCTGTCTACTTGCAGGTGGCTGAGACATGCCAGCTCGCCATTGGCCGTCTTGAGTGGCTGCAACAGCATCCGGGGGAGGCCGCATGGACCGGACCCTACCTCTCAGTGGACCCAGCGCCTCCTGCAGCAGAGCAGGATGTGGGGCGGCTGCGGGAGGCCCTGTTGGACGAGGGGCGGCCCCTCTTTGAGCGGTATCGTGCCATGTTTGCCCTGCGCAATGTGGGTGGTGAGGAGGCCGCCCTGGCCCTGGCTGACGGTAAGGCTGGGTTGGGCCCCGGGTGATCTCGTGTGCAGCCTGAGGGGCAGCTATGACTCCCAGGGCCATCTTCTCCCACACACCCTGGGGACTTGCGCTGGGCATCTGACCATAGTGGTCTTGCTGGGTCCCACCCTTTCCTGCCAGCTGTCCTTACCTGTCCCTTGCCTCACAGGCCTGCGCTGTGGCAGTGTGCTCTTCCGTCATGAGGTGGGCTACGTGCTGGGTCAGCTGCAGCACGAGGCGGCCGTGTCAGAGCTGGCAGCCACGTTGGCACGGACCACCGAGAGCCCCATGGTACGACATGAGTGCGCAGAGGCCCTGGGCGCCATCGCCAAGCCTGCCTGCCTGGCTGCACTGCGGGAGCACATCACGGACCCCGAGCAGGTGGTGCGGGAGAGCTGTGAGGTGGCACTGGACATGTATGAGCACGCGAACGGCCAGGACTTCCAGTATGCAGACGGGCTGGAGCGCCTGCGGTCACCACCCTAACCTGGCACCGCCGGAACTCTGTCACCTGGTCCCAGCCCTGGCCACATGTGCTGTGTGTGGCACTCTGCCTGCTGTGCCTCTCACCCAGATTTAGGGAGCTGAGCAGCTGAGGGTCCTTGTTTCCCACTCTTCCCTCCGTCCCTGCCTTGCTGGGTTCTGGTGGGCGGTGCCACCCTGGTGCTGTCTGCTCAGTGACTGTCTTGTGCCCTCCACACCAGCACAGATGGCAGCGCGGAAGCTGGCAGGCATTGGGAATGACCCAGCTCAGGAAGCTGTTGAGAAAATTGTGGGACCTGGATCGGGTGTGGGGTGCCAGCCAGCCCCAGGGTGTTGCGTGAATAAAATAAGTGATTTTTCACGAGTGCTGGCTCCTGCTGTGTGCGGACTGTCATGTGGCCTTTGGGGGTGTCACAGAGGAAGGGGTTCAGTGGTACAGCTAAGAGTCCGTACTGTGGATTCCTACCCAGGCTCCCAGAATTCCATGCTAGCTGGGATACCCAGGTCCCTGACCCATCCATCTCCTCTATAAATGTTTTTGACACAGAACCCAGCCCACAGCCATCTGTCCCAGCTTCCAAGACCCGGGACTCAGGTGTCATACCCATGCACATGATGTCACCTGGTGGGTGGCCCCGCCCTCCCCTGCCTTCTGTGCTCTCCCCAGGAAGGGTCTGTGGCTGGTGTGCCTGCACCAAGCGGGGCTCTAAAGCAAGTCTGGCTTGTGTCCTTGCCACTCTGGTTGGCGTTGGTAACTCCTGGGCACTTTTGCTGTACTAGGTTTTGTTTACTGTTTTATTTACTTGCTTGAGGCATCTCACTGAACCTGGAGCTGAGTCAGCTGGGCCGTAGCACTTACCAAGGGTCATCCTCCTGTTTCAGTCCCCCAGTGCTGGAGTTACAGCTGTGGCCACCATGCCTGGCTTTTCCATAAATGCTGGGGATGTGAGTTCAGGCCCTCACAGTTGCGCAGTGAGAACCTTAACCTGAGCTAAGCATGTTCTTTAGACATGTGGGCCTGGGAATCGAACACCAGGTCCTGTGCAGGAGCATCCAGTGCTCTTACCGACAAGGCTGGGTCTCAGGTAGCCCAGTCTGGCCTTGAACTCCAACCTGAAGGGTAGCAAACAACGAGTCTTGCTCCCTTGCTGCCTCTGTGATAGCAGGTGGGAATCATCATGTCCAGCTTAAAAAAAAATAGCAGTGTGTAGCCCAGGCTAGCCAAACTCATGGCAGCCTTCTTGCCTCAGTCTCCTGGGTGCCACTCTTCCTGGTAGTTACTTTGCATTCATAGCACAGAGAGGTTGCCAAGTCCCCTCACTTAAGTTTGTACCCACTCTAGACTCAAACTTCCTTACCTCCCATTTCTCCCCATCACGGCTTAAACTTGTGCCACCATGGGTGGCCGCTGTGTCTCAGGAACACAAGGCAGCTCTCCTGAGAACCAAGTTAAGATGCCTCCCCACTTCCCCACTTCCCCACCATCTGACCTGGCCGAGCTTCCTCCTGGTAGCACCGCCCTCACGTGACCCCTCCTTGACCCCGAGCACCGCCCTCACGTGACCCCTCCTTGACCCCGGCTTTGCTCGCTCTCGGCCTGGCCCTCTAGTTCTCTCTGCACCTCAAGTCCCCTTTGTCCCCCCTCTGCCTCATATTCTTTGGACATGAAACTCGTGTTCCAGACTGCAAAGACCACCGTCCGGTGTCCATCCCGGCTGCAGTGCCCTGCTGTCCCCGAATGCTGGCCCTATACAGGATGACTGAACACTTGAAGCCAGAGGCAGTGTCCATGGGCTTAGCTATCCTGTGGTGACCAACCCCTTGCTCTATAAGGAAGTCTACCCTACCATAGCTGGGACAGCCACAGCACGGAGCAACCCTCAAAACTGGGACTTGAACCCCGTCTCTCCCAGAGTGCTCAGCCGCCTTCTAGAACCTCTCAGGTCTCCATCCTAGGGCCCACTTACTCTACACCCTGTCCTCCCCCACAGGAGCTGCTAGAGGACACCCCTGAGCAGGGTGCACTTTGCCTGCAGCTACCCTTGGGTCCCACCCAGCCCTGTCCACCCTGCACAGTCCCCATTCTGACCCTCCATTGCTCGGGCGGCCACAGCAGTATGCGCCCCCTGCAGAGTACCAGGCTCCCGGCTGCCCCAGAGCTTTGCACAGGAGAGCTCTCTGCCTAGCCTGCGCCTGTGCCTGGGCAGAGAACTGGACGCCAGCGTCACTTCTAGTGAGGGGACCAGGGATTCACCACTGATCTGGACAGATGGCCTGGAGAAGCTGTCCTAATCCTTTTAGCTCATCCCCTAATACTCCCGTGTGTGGGTCACCTCCCTCGGGCTCCTGTTGAAGGTGTCCCAGCCATGGCAGGGTCAGTGGATGAAAGAGAGGCCGAGGACTGGAGCCCAGCCCCTCCGATGTATGAGGAGTACCGGCCGCCCGCGCTGGACGCCATCCGTCTGCCTCGCTATGCCCTGTATCTGCTGATGGCCGCTATCCTGGTGGTGGCCGTGGCCTATGCCATCGTTGGCCACCTCATCAAAGATTTAGCTCATGACCTGGCTGGTGAGCCACGTTCCCGCCTAATCCATCCTGGGCTGGGGTCACGGGTAGCATGGGATGGAGCTCAGGTCCAGGCCAGGGTCAGGCCGAGGGTGGGCGTGGTCAGGGTTCCGGGTGGCCAGCCACGCCCTTCCCAGCCACTTTTCCCTGCAGACTGGGCCTTTGGCCCGAAGCCTGACCAGGAGGAAGGTCCCCGGGAGCTGCGGGACAGCTTGGCCGCAGAGGACCTGGAAGAGCTGGATCTTCAGCTGGCCCTGGCCTGGCGCGGGGAGGAGGACCCCGCCCGTGCTCCTCGCCGCACTTCCATCGCCTTCAGGGAGCCGCCGGTGCAAACCAACTTTTGGCCGCTGGACTGACCTGGAGGACAGCACATGCAACGCTGGTGGGCTCGGCAGTTCTGCCTCAGTTGGGCCACCTGTGAATGTGACATGTCTGTGTACAACACAGGGTTTGGCTGGCTGAAACACAAAACTCCCCCGCCTAGGCTGGAGTGCTCTGATTGCAGACCCCACTTCCACTTTATTAAGACTTGGAGACAGGTTGTCATGTAGCCCAGGCAAGCCTGATATATAGCAGAGGATGACCTTCAACTCCTGATCCTCCAGGCACCACCTCTTGATTGCTGGGATGACAGGCCTGGGCCACTCTACCTGACTTCTGTGATGCAGAGGACCGAGCCCAGGGTCTCCCACAAGGCTGGGCCAGCCTGAGGCCCTGGCATTTTCTTCCTTCCTTCCTTCCTTCCTTCCTTCCTTCCTTCCTTCCTTCCTTCCTTC